CGGGGGACGGAAAAGTAGTGGTAAACACAGGTACGAAGGCAGGTCCGGAAGCTAGATTCGCAAAGTCAAGTCGGAAGTCGTGCTCTATCCAGCATTAGAATAGTGTTTTGCGTCAGGCGATCGGCTGGTACTACTGGCACGAAATCAAAAAAAAGTAGTCGATAAAGTAGACCTATCCGGCATAACTAAACACATTTGCTTAAATGATTTCAGGTTCTGTACGGTGGACATAGAGTGACAGTTGCCAGAAACAATTATAAATCACGGAAGCGAACAGGTATTACCCCGTTAATTATGTATAACATTTTTACATTCCATCTTTTCAAATGAGGTTATATTTGAGTGGGGAGATCGACCAGATCGGCTTTACGAAGAGAGAATGTGGAGCGTGCATTGTGTTAACAGGTGATCGTTAGGTGGCCAAGCAACTGAGCAAATATCGATTTACGGACGCTGTTAAGATAAAAGAAAAGCTACGTGCTTACTAGCGGACGGAATCGGCCAGATGAAATTTTTAATGGAATTGACTTGTTTCATTGGCGTAAAGTCGTGATTCTAATCTGGGAGGTCAGACACATCTCTGACGGTACGAGTGATTCGAGACATCAGTAAAGCAACGGATCGGAGTCGAATTCAAGTGGAACATCGTCGAGTTTGTGTTATGGCCACATCCGAGTAAAAACGTTTTGGACAAAGATCATCGTGCCTGGCAGGGAAAGATCGATTTAAACGACAAACACGATTGTAGTGGACGATTGAAAGTGTGCAATGAAAGTGTATTGACCAAACACGATAATTAAAAATTTCGAGAGAGATACTTTCGCCAGTAATGTGGCATCCAGTGAGCTTTTATCGAGGTAGTGTTAATATGTGTAAGCGGATTGAGAAGCGATACATGCGAGCTACGACTGCCATATTCAAGAATTTTACAATTCTAATTGCAAGTGGTACAGCCTATCATTCGTGTAGAATTGTCCAGCTCTAAACGAAAGATATCTAGAGCAGGACATTCTTTAGTTTAAATTGGGTATGAGCCGAATTCCAAGGAAGTCACATAAACGAGATGTAGAATAATGTAACAGACAAATCGCTTTACGAAACTGTTTGACACTTGATTTATCACGTATGGAATTAAGGTTTGTGGTTCGTACCTTAATTTCATACGTGATAAATCAAGTGCCAAACAGTTTTAGGAGTGTGTGGGATCTCCCACTGAGATAGAGCTTGACTTATCTTGGGTGAATTACGTGGTAATTGAATCATCACACCTTTTGAATATAACTCAAACACTCTGGTGGGTAAGATCAACGATTTAAAGTCACAAATTTTTACTCAGGAGCTGAAGCTCAATTGGCGACACGCCCTGTTTTGTAAAGTACGTAGCATTATCGGCGCGAGTCAGTGACAATATTGTGTAGGAATTGGCGAGAATGTATACAAAAGTAAAGGACAAAACAAGACAATTATCACGTTAAAAGAATTGTTGGTATTACATTTTGATGCCCGGGTAGGCGATCGAGTGGAAAAGGAAGCAAACTTAGGTATATTTTTCAGGGTCCCTGATAGAATATTCTTGAGTTCACCCGATGAATTTCTCAGCTTACCGGATGTAATTTAAAAAGTGTCTTAGGCAGGTGTAAAACTACATATTATTAACAATGCAACTGATTGTAAAAGGGGCCATGATAATCGTTTGGAAATTTCAGAAGATAGAATTGACAGAAGTACGGATCTGCATGGTCGCGCGCAGGGCCAGGATATGAAAGATAAAAAAACAGCGTATCAAGAATATTTTCACGAACTATCTCAGGCGTAATTTTATGCTTTAACCGAAGAAAGTAAAACCTAATTTTTGAGTCCTTTTTCGTACATCGGCATCGGAAGACTGTGCAACATAGTTACTACATTTTAGATCATTTAAGAGACTGTAATTCTTAGAGCAATTTTAAATGTCAAACAGTGTCCAAACGACCTCTTACGGTACTTTGGACGTAAATTCATTTATATCTATCTCTGCAAACGGTCAACGTCTGCACAACCATTATCAAATTTCTATTACTTCTTGGATTGAGCAGAGCTTGTGCCACATCTCCTTACCTGACTTTTTTGGAACCCTGATCAGTCAACATAATCGGCAACGAGCCATAAAAGCAACCTTTGTTATATTTTGAACGAGATTAGGACTGAAGGCATAACTTGTAATGGTATTAAGTCGTTACACGAGACTGTCCGTTTAAAGGCACTAAAAAGTCATAGAAAGGATCTGAGTGCGGTATGCACTTTGAACTGTCATGTGACTGAGGTACATCGATAGTGTACCTCCCACATAGTGTGTGGCACACACAGATGACGTCACTACGCAACGTCATTACATGATGTCATTCCAGTACTTCATCAACGCCTCTATAGTCAGTTCAAGCAATCTGTAGACTCCTCGGCTCATCGGAGCAAGCGCCTAATCTTTTTTAAGGTAATTAAGCAATTTCATTTTTTGTTTAATTACTTGAATAGGAATCAATCTTTACATCCAACCTACTTGTGATGTGTGTGTCGAAGAAAGGGAAACTACGTCCGAGCCACACAAGCGTTCATTGATTTTTGAGGTATTCGTAATACGACCACTTGAACCTTGCTGCACGCGAGAGAAGACGGTAAAAAGGCTAAAAATTCCGCCTAAGTACCCTGTGCTAAGCTTAGTAAACTTGATGCATAAAACTAAGCATACATATTTGTATGGTGTTCGACACGTCATTGGTCACTATTTTTTTTTTAGTAAAACTTAATTCGTCAGGTAATAAACCTTATTCAATAATGAGCTTACTGACGGATTTGTGTTGTTATTTGTATTACAACTAATTTTCCAGCTTATGGTTGCCATCTTTCAGTACTCACGATACTTGATAGTACTGGTTTTGTACACACATACATTTATGTCCCTTCAATTGCGTGCATTGTCATACAAACTATGATTTACTTTGATGGGAGAGCGTGTTTGGATATTTGTCCCTTGGAAAACTCATGAAATATGATGTTTACAGGCTATAAGAGTGCGACCATTTATTGGGCATGTTGGAACCATCTTTGTAAAGCTTATTTGAGTTATGATAATAGATGCTATCTAAGTATAGTTGTGCTATATGCTGATGTTGTTTCCAACCACAAAGTATACGTACAATTTTTTTTCGATCTAGAAGGGTGAAGCTATTAGTGACTGTGCGCAAGGTTGAATGCCGAACTTTAGATCGTACGTATCAGTGTGTGTTTGTAAATTACGCGGTCATGTGTAGCTTACACGTAATATGTGTGATCTAGCCTGTCCCCACCACATAGGTATAGGCACTTAAAAAGTCACTCTTTAGCAAGGTCACTTTTGTGACGCACGCACGAGATTACTTTAAAAACGATCAAAAGTGAATACGATCACTTGAGCAAATTTTGGACGAAAATAAGCAAAGGCCGAATGCGTTGCATGAGAATAAACTGTATTTATTAAGACATTAATAGCATCATTCTCGTTCTTCAGTAACTGCTGTTTTTGTAAACTGTTTTGTAACCTGATTCAATTCTCCAAATTGTACTTTTTTTCAAAGGGCGAGCTCAAGAGCCTGCTTCCCTATCTTATTTAAAGTTTTAGCCATCACAATTTTATTAAAATGAACACCCTTATCCCTCCGAAACTGTTACAAATGTGGGTCTTTTGCTTATACGTAAGGTGCAAATCGCGTAGTTATCTCTTTATTTCTATAAACCGCCCAAAAAAAATTATTTACTCCCTATTAAGTTTGTAAAGCATTTAATTAAGGCATTTTGTTGTTGTCTGTTATCTCTGGTCATAATCAAATAATTTTTTTAGCAGCCGTTAACTGATAATGATAATCTTTTACGACGGAACTCAGCACATTGATCACAATAAACGAGTCCATGGAACGAAGGGATAGACATGGGTCTCCCGGACACTATTTGTGAGCTTGCTGTCTTTGTAGAAAGAGAATATAACACGAAGCGCAGACTACCGCAACAGAGTGTCCGCCTATCATCTGCTTACCTTCTAATGGCCTGAATGTGAATAAGTAGTATGCTCAACTAAATATATATTTAGATATTTTGATGTATACATACATATGTATACATCAAAATATCCAAATACACAGCGCAATGCCTCGCACACCGGCGTAATGTATACGAAAGATTCACGTCTGCTACGAGTCAATCCTGTATACTGATTATGTGTGAGGCTCGTTTTGACCCGCCTCTGACCTACCTCGGCTATCGCCTTCTGCTAGCATCATTTAATCCCGATGCTAGCGTGCCGATAGAAGATCTAGAAGCTCCTGCTAAATTAGACTGTACAACAGGGTCATAACTGACTGTTTGCTACATCCTGACGTTGCCGTATTCTATGGTCATATGAGCGGTATAAAGAGGACCCGATCGACCAGGGTCTGCTTTAATAGGAGATTGAGAGCCTACGAACGTGTCTGATTTGTATAATTGGTGGTTGTAAACAAGATGCACGGTGAACATGTTATAAGGTTGCATTTTTTGCGTGACTGATCAAAATACCGTCTTCTGGTGCAATTGGGGGAAGGATCACCTCCCTTCAAATTTAAGTGACCTGAAGTATTTAAAAAGAGGAAAAGTGAATATCAAATGCTGAGGTAGCATATTCCTCTGTAAATGCAGCCTGGAGTACAATTTGCAGTAAACAATATACTTACGATGTAGATTGATACTTCATAATACTATCGCTCTGTCGATTACGTTCTGTACAGCTGAGGTCATCCCCAAGATATCCTAAATCAATAGACTGAGCGAGGCGAGGTAGGGCGTGATGTGTTCCAGTAACATAACAAGTTTTTACCAAAAAAATGAAATGCTACGTTTACCTTACCTCAGCATTGTAGCTTTCAGCCGCACACGACATTGTAGGTCTTCAGCCGCACACGACATTGCAGGTCTTCAGCCGCATACGACATTGTAGGTCTTCAGCCGCGTTGGCATTACTTCTGTCGCACACGATCTGGTCGGTCACTCTTGCCCATCCCCAAAACTTGTAGTTCGACAGCACAATCCCTGTCCACGATATTCTCGATGCTAGCCATCCGCTGCTTGATTTGGTCTGAGTAGTAGCGCTCAGGAGAAGGAACAGACTCAGATGAGATGCTGGTTAGATTGATATCTTCATCGTTACAAGTCAGCCCATCCGCGTCGCCATTCGCCCCAAACATCACGCACTTCGTGTTCTGCGACTCCAATGACAGGGATGCCGGCACGAAGCAATGAGGTGTCGTATTCATTTCGACAGAAGGACTGTAGTTTAATCTCTGAGCTGGAAAGTCTTCCGTCTCGTTACGCACTTGCATCGCTCTGCCAGTATTTATCCCGTCGTTACGTGAGGCTTCTGATTGCCCCTCCTCGCCGCAATTCAACACCTCTTCTTTTCTCAGTGAGAAAAAGTGGTTGCAGTCTTGTTCATCAGATGTGTGTTCTCTTACAGTGACACTCTGCTGCTCAGAACCCAATCGACTATCAACCACACGGTCCTTTTCTTCTTGTGGCGCAAACTTCCCCACTTGCAGCATCTTCAACAGTCGCTCCTTACTCTGGGCTGTCAACGAACGAGTACATACTTGCTGCATGAACTCATTCAGCTGGCAAACAGGTTAGAAAAGTTGACACGATCACAACTTATACGAATACTACCAAGAGTACAAAATTGAAGCCTCGTACCAGTATTTGTCTGACTTCAACAATCTCGGGCCTTACAGAGGCTTTGTGACTCCACCAGATCTTGGGTGGAAACTTTGCGGAAATGGGTGCAGAATCGGAGCTCAGCTTTAGATGCTTGGCAAAATATCGAAACTGTCGATATCGAATAAGACGGTGATAGCACAGACCCTGATAGTTTACAGAGGTTCGGTAGACCGTGTAGGCCATCGGCGTGTCGGGGTAGCGCGTCTGTGAGCCAATGATAGCCACGCGCAGCTTTCCTGTCATGTCGTGGCTATCACTGGTGCGAGGCAAGGACTCGCGCGGCCACCAGAAGCACCGCAGACAACGGGGTAAGATGTCGCGCAACAGGATAATTGGTAGGTGTTGTTCGGTTGCAAAAGAGAAAGTGACTGCCAAAAAACCTCCATTTATTTTATTAAGTACGATTGACGGCCATAAGAGAATGCGAATGTCTCAGAGAGAAAACGTGCGCATCTCGTGCCTTTGTCAATTATGAGCGACTCAAGTTGCAGCATGCAGTTCTCATTTTTCACATTGCAAACGACCAATTCTGCAAGGATACTACTAATGAAATATTAAAATCGGCAAATTGCATCTTCCGAGGCACAGTTTACTGTATGCGACACCGTTCAGCGCCCACTGATTCCCGAAGGTTAATAAAGGACTAGTGTTAATAAAAATGCAGTTTTGTAGGTGCGCAAATTAAAAAAACAGTTTCAATTACAGCGCTAAGCGGCAGCATAAATCATCCAATAAGTCGCGGGGCGTTCTGGCCCTCACTGCACACTGTCTAAATTACGTGACGCATCTAAGAATGCTAATCTCTTCGTATTAAATCGCGATTATTAACATGATGAATGCTTCTTTGCGAATGTTTAAGATAGAAGTACTAGAATAGTGAATGTAATAAAGGTATTACTCGGGCTGAAGCCCTCATTGCGACCCCAAAGAGTAAAGCCTTCCGTAGGTTGTAAAAGCTCGGTATTTCTTTTTTTCAATTAATGCACTTGGTGACTGTGCGCAAAAGAATATACCGAACTTGCAAAACCTACTTTTTGTCGATTTGTGCTTCTGTCTGTCAGTGCAAAAAACGCTAGGAGTACATAAGACGCCGTACCGAAATAGGAGTTAGAAATTAAAAAGGATTAATTTTGGCGAGGCTGGTTTTTGGTTTGAGGTATTTGAATCCGATTCAAGGGCAAAAAACCATGGCTTTATTCTGCTCGATGAGCGGGCGTGTAAAAGGGTAACACATCGTTGAGTACTCGATGCCCTGTGTCTTTGACACACGGGATGGTGTCCCACTGAAAGAGATGCAGAATACCTTATCGGTTTATAGTGGCTGGCGGGTGTCAGACACAAAATTGTAAAGATCTTATACATAGTAATTTAGGACTTGAGTGCCTTGACGAGGTAGCCCGTTCCATTACATTGACATTAAACGGTGTCAAAATGGGAAAATTGTCTAGCGCGACATTCCCTACCGTAATTACCCGAGGTAGGTAATATTCATGCGCTGATCAAAGATTGGTTAATAAAAGACATATCAACGATATAACCACCAATCGCCACTAGACGCGTGTAATGAGCGGCGAGCAGGTTGTCGTCATACGACAATGCAGGTTAAAGTAGTGATAAAAAGAAGGAAGTTATAGTGATAGCTTCACTTTATTAAATACAGTTGTCTTTTTGCCTTTACTCAAACGAGTTGTTCGAGCAGATAAGCTTCCTCTGAACGTACGAGCGTACGTGAAGTTTTGCGGCACCCCAAACAAAGGGTGCCCAGGCACACCTGGTAGCACTGTGTTGTTCTTTCAACGACTACTTTGTGTCCGTCCAACATGAACGTGTTGGATGTAGAAGACGACAGCTTTCACGTCACACGTGAAGGCTACTCGTATCTGAGTGACTCAGAATGGGAGGTAGTCGGCCGCATGAGTGTTCTCGTGGGCGAACCCGCCATCAGTGGCATGTTGGAGTCTCTAAGTATAGACCAGCAACATGCTGCTACCAACAAGTTCCTACAAGGGGAACTTGCAGTCGAAAACAGAAGATAGCCTTGCTACAACTGCAAGGCTTCCATCAGTCGATGGGCGGGGGGACATACTCGCGTCTACCTGAAACCTTGTAGATACACATCTCAAATTACAAGGGAACCGATGAAGCTTCCCTTTTGATATGGTCCGTCGAGTTAGACGATGCCATCAGGGCCCATCACATCGAGGGTGACGAGATGCAAGTCACATTCGACCTGTCAAATTTGACAGGACGAGAAAAGACTTAGGCCTTAGGGCTCAAGCTTCACTATTCAAACATGTTTGAGTCTTTGGAGATTTGAAGTCTCGACTTAAAGAGACGTTTGAGTCGCCACGAGCCGAGTTCAGAGCACGCTCTGCACTCTTGAGGCTAAAGCAAGGTAAGCGTGACGTGCATGCTTACTCACAGCACCTGCGCTACCTTGAGAGTAGCGTTACGGAAAACCCTGTTGATGAGCACACGCTCATCAACGTGTTCATCTGCGGCCTTGTAGATGGACCGGTGAAGACCTACATATTCCGAGAGGACTTCCATACGCTGAAAATAGGGCGATAGCGTATGCGAAACAAGAAGACTTCGGCCTGAGACAGTCTCAGGCTAACTCGTCAAACTATCGTCCGACGAGACGACAGGAAACAGGAGGTCATGAACCAATGGACCTCTGTTACATCGAGAGCGAGAACTCTCGCTCTTTGAGTCATAAGCGAATGGCAAGGTGCCATCGCTGTCAGAAGATTGGACACAAAGCTTATGAGTGTAGTGTCCCGAGCACTGCAACACGTCCAAAGACAGGACGTGATGACCATCGTCGGCCAAGGTAGGGTCCGAGGCGTGGGTCCGACCATGTCGCTAAGCCGCGACAGCAAGTCAAACAAAACGGTCACGGTCAGTAGGGGCGGAGCACCCGGCTGATCCAGCAACGTCAAGAGAGTTTGCAGGACTCTTGACGAATATTGCTCCCAACACGCAGTCTATGTGTGTTACTGCCCTTAGTGATGAGAAGTCCCTCATCACTTAGAAGATCGAAGTGACAAGTGGAATATAACTTCGCGCCCCAGTTGACTGTGGGGCGTCGAACAGTTTTATTCGACGTCAGTCGCTAGGGGATAGTAGGCTCAACTATGTTGAGCGAGATTTCCCTCCAACGAGAATGGCGGTATGCCTTGCCACGGGGCATCTGTAACAGCGAACAAACGTGTAGTGGGAATCCACTACACGCTAGAAGGAAAACAATACGATGATGACTTCATCGCATTGGATTTGAATGACAAATTCGATGTCATCCTTGGTCTGACATGGCTTAGAAAGTACCAGCCATGGGTCAGCTGGGCAGCATCGATCCGTGAAGATGCCTGCCGTTTGTTATCAGATGAACATCTGATGAACGTATTGGAGCGTCCACAAGCGTGTGGATGTACTATGAGTGAGCGCGATGGCCTCACTTGTGATGCGGTAGTTAGTATGACTGCACAAGATCACAGTGTAGAAGGCCACCACACTGTGGAACCAGCTTCCGGCACCTGTGTAGAGACAAAGACTGCGCCGAAGGTTTACCACTTGACGAGATCGAGTGGACTGAAACACGTATGCACGCCAACAAATTAGCATCCAAGAAGATAAATTAGTGTTTTTCAGGATGAACAATACGCTGAAGCAAGACCGACTAAATATAAGTCGATCGCAGAGCAAACCCATCGACTGAAAACGAGTCGATTGAGGAGGACGTGACTGTGGTCGTACACCCACAGTCAGTACACGTATTGGAAGAAAGTTCCAGCGTTCCTGAGAGTGATAATTTTTATTCGAGTTATGTTGAGGGTGTGGATCCCCAACCACCTGCGGATGTGTTTTCCCAGGAAATTACCGAGACATTGAATGTCTCGGTGAATGAAGGATCAAGTGTAGGCGCTTATACACTTGATCTGGCTACACCTCCGAAGTCAGCTTCGGAGGTAATAAAGTTGATAACGCTGGAATCAAAAAGATTTCTTGCGAGATCTGCACAGTGAAAAGATCAAGCAGATCTGCGTACTTGTCACAGAGGTCGAGTACGTCACCGATACTAGGTCGGCACAAGTGTTTGCTGAGAACGAACGGGTTCTCAGTAGCTCATCGATGGACGAGAGTGTCCGCGATGAGAAGACCCGGATTGAGCGATACACGTCTCAATATTGGGAGACTTTGAAGACAAATCCTTTGTATAAGGATTTGGTGGAATTCAGGGATGTTTTCCCTGTATCCGTGTCATACGAGCTACCCAAGGAAGAAGGTACTCGTCATGAGATCTAACTCAAACCCGGTTCGACATACTGCGTCATGAAGCAGGGGCCACCGCCTCGTGAACACGTCACGGCGATCGAAAAATTATTTGCCTATCGCTTAGAGGCTGGTCATGTGAGGGAATCAACATCCCCACACAGCTCGCCGACCTTCTGTGTGCGGAAGGCCACAGGAGGGTGGCGGATAGTGCACGCGTTCAACAAACTGAACGCTGCGACGGTACCGGCTCAAACGCCGATCCCAAGAAAGGATGTCATCATAGATGGTATGGCAAGGAGTACCATCTTTTCGCCCATGAATTTGATCGATGGATTTTATCAGATCCTCATGCGCGAACGGGAGATTCCTTCCACAGTAGTGAGCACCCCCAGTGGTATGCTCTGGAAGCGTCAAGTGGTGCCACAGGTGCTAAGTAACGCCTTTGCAACGTTCAACACATGTGTTTCGAATCTGTTGCGGTCGGTGCGCGACTTCACACCGAGTTACTTCTACGATGTCTACGTCCGTAGCCGGGCTATGGATGGAAAGACGGACGGGAAGGTTCGTAGAATCCACTTCCGGAAGGTCCTTACTCTAATGCGAGAGCTTAAATTGTTCGCGAACATCAAAAAGTGTATATTCACAGCGAACGAAATACCACTTCGTGGCTGCATCGTGGGTAACAATGGTGTATACCCTGATCCAGAAAAGATCAAGAAGATTAGCGATTGGCCTTTGCCAGTCGACTAAAGGGACTTCGAAAGTTCCTGGGCTTGGCGGATTACTTGCACAAGTACTCGCGCAACTATGCCAAGATGAAAGTACTTCTCTCTCGTATGCTAAAGAAAAACGAGAGGTGGTCATAGAGTGCTGAGTGTTAGCATTCTTTCGAAGGTATCAATATTAGCTTGATACAATAGCCTGTGTTGGCGATTGCAGATCAGGACCATTTCATGTGGGCTGTGACGCCAGCGATTTTGTAATCGGCTGTGCTTTAATGCAGTCTGACTCAGAAGCCGCAAAGCGCGTCGTCTGTTTTCAATCGGGTCAGCCGCAAGCAGCTGAGCTTAACTACCCAGTGTATGACAAGAAAATCATTGTTATAAAACATACACTGGCTAAGTTTCAGTTATATCTCTTAGGAGATAGGCCGTTTGTTGTCTATCAGGACCATGCATCATTACGCACGGCCGTAATTATTCCACACCTTTTGCAAAGATTTGCGAGGTGGCTGTCCTTCTTCGCGGAGTACAACTTCTCCGTCGAGTAAAAACCAGGACGACTTAATGTCGTCGCTGACGCTCTTTCGCGTCGGCCCGATTTCGATCCGACTACTCATCACAACAGTAGGGGTGTTCCCACTGTTGCAACACTATCAGCGAGTGATCCGTCGTCGAATCTTCTCGACGACGATTAGAAAGCATACGCAGAAGATAAGTCTATTCTGCGATTGATGGATTACGTGTCTAATCCATGCACTCACGCTTTGAAAAGCTTGTCGTCTCAATACCGCTCTTCACCGAACGGTATTCGGTTCGTGATGGACTGCTGTACTATACAGCAGTCAACGGTGATACAGCTCGCGTCGTCGTTCCGGCTCATAATGATTTGCGATTGCGCATCATGTATGGGCGTCACGATGCCCCAATAAGTGGGCATCGCGGTAGAGAAAAGACTTACCTCATGGTGAGTCGTGACTTCTACTGGCCCAGCCAGTATGCGTTTGTGCGCAAATATATTCGCGCTTGCGAAGTTTGCCAGCTGGTGAAGCCTAGTCCTTCATTCCGTGCGCCCTTGCAGACTCTACCAATTCCAACAGAGTGCTGGCAGTCCGTATCGATGTAATTCGTCTTTAGAAAACTATTACCAGTATTCTGTATCTTGATCGGTTTAGAAAGATGGTATATCTTGTTGCTGTACCGGATTCCAGCCCAGCCTAGGGCTGTGCTAGTGTCTTCATCGATACTATCTTCCGACTTCACGGCTTACCCCGTGCACTCGTGTCTGACAGAACACCCGCTTCACAGCGAAGTTCTGGCAATCCGTGTTCCGTTCACTTGGAACACGTTTGACGATGTCGACTTCTGTCCATCCAGAAACAGATGGTCAGACGGAACGCGTCAACCGCGTCCTCGAAGAGATACTCCGAGGGTATCTACGCTCGTTTACAATTTTGGAGTGAATTCTTGCAGATGGCGGAATTCGCCATCAGCAACTCGGTGCACGCGTCTACAACGCATACACCGTTCTTCGTGAATGGCCTACGCCATCCACGTTTGCTCGCCTTCTTAGAGTGTGACTCTAGTTTAAGGGGGGTGGACTCGCTCGAACAAAAACCGATCTGGTTCTTGCTCATCCCCCGTCTACAACGGTGTCGACGTGATGGATGCCGATGTCGATGCGATCGACACCGATGACGATGATGACGACGATGCTGGTATATTCAGCATCTCCAATGACTGCCACAGTGAGAAAAATGACGCCCTCACTGGTGGAGACAACGTTCCTTCAGCAGTGTACACAAAGCGCACTGCTGTTGACAAGGATGAATCAGCAGAGGAATTTCTGCTGACTCGCGAAGCGGTTGTCCTCTTCGTTCAAGACTCTATCGCAGATGCAATCGATAAGCAGAAAAGAAATGCAGAAAAACATGGAAGAGCAAGTGTTCTTTCATTTGATGAATGAGATTCAGTTTTACTGTCTACAATAAACTTACCGAAACACGCGGTGACAAACGTGGGCAGCAGTAAATTACTGCCCAGGTACATCGGTCCGTTTCGTGTGTTGCGCCGAATGGGCAACGCATACACGATTGAACTGCCTTGTAAGATGCTTACGCATCCTACGTTTTACGTCGGTCGTCTCCGCCCGTACTATCAGTACGAGCCCCTTTCGAGAGGCGACGGACACCTCCTCGGTCGAGAGCCGAGACCACCCTCAAGTGGTCCCGTTTTAACGAGCCAGTCTATTCGAATAGCGAAGTGACCTGCTCACGCAATTGAGCAATGTCTCGACGATCTGCAGTCAGCTCGTCACGAAGGGAACGAATCGAACGTTCGTTCTCAAGTTGCGCGAACGCAAACGCGGCACGATCTTCCGAGCAATCGTGCATTAGGGAATTGTAATTAACCCTTACAAGATCCCCAAGCTTATAACGCCGAGTCCGTTCATGAGCCAGGTCGTCTTGCAAGTTTTCCGTTACACGGTTCAGCTCCTGAACATCAAGCTGTTCCGACCCTCGAGCCGAATCAGGTTTTCCCGCTGCTACCACATCTTTTGGTGGACTCAAGTGGTGGTCAACGCTTCCTAGTGGAGCTTTCTTTTAGCCACCGCGATGTGAATGGCGTCCGGAGGAGTTACCTCGCTCGCTGGCGTGGCTATACACCGGCGTGGGACAGCTGGGAGCCTCGTTCCCAGCTGATTGTTGATGTCCTTGGTCTCGTAGAGCTGTGCGACGAGATCCACCCGCTGCGCTTGAAGAAGTGCCGTTGGAAAACGACCTCCCCGAACGCGATTACAGGGATTGCAAAGTGTCGATCCCTTCGGCCATCTCGGAAGAGATGCTCGCCCTCCAGTGGGGATCATTAGGGAGGTAGGCCTCGCCAGAGGCACGATTTGAGTTGTCCAGGCAACCTGGTTACGAATAACCCCACGAGAGACAGGGTAATCCTGCCTCTCTTGAAAGCCGGTGCAAACTTGTACCGTACACCGACTGGGTTACGCTTCTCAAACCTGATGCGAGTTGCATCAAGTTTGGCGAGCCAGGCCTCACGGCCAATGCACTCGATGTTGTGGATAAAGGTATTCCATCCTTGCACCAAGGCCTGACCGTCTCGACCACGGCTGCCATTAGACCACAGATGTTTGAAAAATGCATCGGTGAAGAATTCTTCCTCAGCACGGATAGTTTCCATGCTGGAATTAGGAGGACAGATCCTCCTACAATCGAACAACAGGATTCGATCCCGTTTTATGGTCATGCCGGCCACTCGATCTAACTCTAAGGATGATGGCATCCAAGCAGACTCCACTTAAAGATCATGATGCAGGACATAGCGGTCTCTGGCCTCTTGATTGGTGTCAGCATGAGCACTGACGCCAGTGAAAGCTCGATCCCTCGAGTTTCTTCGCTTGTGGTGATGTATAGGTGCATCACCACCATCCTCACGCGTCCTATCGTTGGATGGACTTGCGTGAGGCAAAATTTTGTCCGAATAATCACACGATACGAAGATCTTGGTCATGATACCGCCACTCTGACCAGAGCCAGTCAGCCTGGCTCTTACAGTGTCATCCCCGGGTGTCCCGGAAGCGTAAGAATTCGCTTTCAATCTGGATGCATCACCCGACTCGCCAGAATTGTTGTGCTCTATTTTAGGCTCATCTACATTGCGAGTCGTAGCACCCGCTGCAGATGAAGCGGACGTATCTGTCGCACGTGGTGACTTACCACGTGGACTGTTCGCAGAAGGCACCGCCTATTGCTGGATTTCAACAGCAGGCGAAGATCACTCGCTGCTAAAGCAAGAGAAGAATCCTCTTCGGCTTCACGCATGCGTGCAACCACTTTTCTTGCTGCTTCGGCAACACATCGCATAAACTTTGACAACACGCGATGAATTGGCAAGTGAGTTGTAATTTATCCAACAATTACCCCTCTTCCCAGAGTAATCCATCAGTGGCCATCCTGTCCCAATCAGTTGATTTTATCTTTCGAGTGAGTGATGGTTAGGGAGGGTGATGCAACGGGGAATCCCGTTTCATGATCTTTCCACCAAACGGTGTGAATAGGAAGTTTGGCCAGCATGACAATCTAATGCCAATATTATCCAATTTGGATAATATTGTAGGAACGTTATTCCGTTTTGAATGATATTCATGCGCTGCTCCATGATTGCTTGATGAAAGAAATGTCAACAATGATTACCACCAATCGCTGCTAGACGCGCGTAATGGGCAGTAAGAAGGTTGTCGTTAAACGAGAATGTATATTAACATAATTCGATAACGACTTAAGTGATACTGATAGCTTAATTACATTAAATACAGTTCTTTTTTACCATAAATGAATTTAGCTGTTTAAGTGGTAAGCTTACTCTGCACGTACTACTGTGCGTGAAGTTTCGTGGCACCCCAAACAAAGGGTGCCTTGTTCTATCACTAGCCTCTTAAGTTAATTCATTACATGACTCGGGGTGAATTAAAATCTCGCCATCCTGTGGTGGTGTTTGCGCTAGCACGATAAAAACTTTCTACGTGCCATTCCAATCGCACAAAGATCATCGTACTGCCATTCATTGGCAATATAATCATTGCAATTTAATTGCTGACCATTTGGACGACACCCATGCCTAAGCTAACTCGAGTTATGAGCGTGGTGGCCATCAACGCGACCTACAGCTCAATGCAGTCGCCGGAATCCAGCTTCGTGGTGTGACTAAAAGCCACGCTATGGACATGCGTAGTCGCACTAACGACAGAACCGTACGCGTGGCCATCCCACTCGCTTGAAGTTCATCCAAATTATATTGAGCGCTAATTTCCGTCATCAGATGGTCATCGGATGAACAAGTGGTAGGTATGTCGACTGTTCGTTGATGCCAGTTGAACAAGTGGCAGGTATGTCGACTGTTCGTCGATGCCAGTTGACCCATGCTTTTGTGGCCACGGCAGTCCAAGGTTGATATCAAAAAATTTAAATACGTCTAATAAGTATGATTCTTCATTGTATTGAATTCCCTTCAGTTTAC